AGAGTATAAAGGATGGGAGGAGGCAATTGAAAATTGAATCCCAGTTAACTGCCAATGAAGGGGAGGGAACATTAAAAATATTACAGAGCCACGAGCTCCTGAAACTACACTCTCTCCACTGTTAAAAGGAAACCAGCCGTTTTAAGATTGAATTTGATCGGTAAACCATGATGCAACTTTGTACGACAACATATAACTGGGGTCAATTGAAAAATGGACTCAATACCTAATGTTTAAAACTTCAAAAAATTGAGTGAAGTTGCGTCGATTAAACTAAATTTCTATATACAGCAGATTAAATGCTTTTACATGCATCGACAGAGCTAATAAACTGAGCACATTTGCCCAAAAGTACTGGATTAAAACTCGTCGTGATATGTTTGACCAAACTGTGTGACGTAGCTTCCGGCAAAGATCTCATGACTTGTGACAAACTCATCTGCTGTTAGTTTTCCATCCTGGGAATGTAAAATTCATATACAGTTAATTTTTTTTAATAAGAGAATGTAAAAGGCTTATATTCTCTTGTCTGTTATATGAATTTTCACGCTAAAAAATATTCGGAATTCTGTAAGTAATAAACAACGTTTGTTTAAATGGAGACATTTTTTCTGCCAACATAAATTTGTAGAGTTGTTTTCCAAGTGGACATAAATGCCTGCTTCAGGGAGTTAAACCAGGCTAAAGTACGGATTTGCGCCATAGGCTAGCAAGGATAACGTTAACAAAGATACATCTAATGTCGTATGCGCAATTTTCAATCGAATGTTGAAAGAAATCCAGGACTGCTTAGGTTTTGCTCAATCTAGCTGTATTTCTCTCCCAACAACCGGCGCCTTTTTCTCAACCAAGCAAATTCAAAGCTTTAACCTATGGTGACTTGGTATCTCAAATTTTCCTGCACTTCAGACAGTTAACTTGGATTTACGAGTTCTGGTTGGCTCCAAGTGATTTTTACCCTTGTTGTGATTGGCTGCTGAGATCACTTCGGTTTTGTTTTTACTACATTCCATCGAGTGTAAGAGAACTTTTCGATTGAAAGTCGTAAAAAAAAAACCAGAATAATCCCAACAGCCAATCTGAAAACAGAAAATACCCTAAAGAGCTAAATGATAAGTCAAAGTGCAAACACCTTGAGCACGGGAAAGCGCGGGAAAGCGCGGGAAAGCGCGGGTGGCCGAGTGGTGATTGGTTTAAGGTTTGCATCTGATTGGCTGAGATTAGCGCAAGTTTCTGGACTGATTACGTAGCGTAGTGAAGCAAAACAAACGCAGTCCCGGAATACTTGTTGAAGTAGGATTGTCCATAATTACCTTATTCATGTCTGCATACTCTATTAAATGCTGAGCCTCTCCCAGCGCTTTGTTAAAGTTTTTCGGCCTTCTCCATTCTTCCATTTCTTTCTGAAAAGTATTATTAACAATGATCAAGAAAGTGTTACTGCCTTGCGAATGTTAGAATCCAAAATGAGGGGACGTGCTAAAAAATCCACAAACTTAACTGAACTTGGTAATCAAAAAGTTAGCGAGGCAGCTGGACATTACAGTTTTACCTCTTACCAGGTTAAGGAATCCATCGTGGTCGACGTCGTATTTTTCATTGAAGTCCGCTATGTACAGGGTATTGAATGCTGGCATATCGATGTAGGCTGCAAGATGAAATTGAAAACTATGTCACAAGCGTGCTGTTACTTGAAAAACTGGAAATTACTCAGGTAAAAATTTATTGTTAGGAGGAAGCTAGACAAGTTTCAAACGCTTCTCTTGTGCTGTGGAAATTGTTCGATGAGGCAGATTTCAAATGGAGAACAGTGTTGTATAATAGCAAACTCTATTCATAATTCGTACTCGTCGGAAGTGACTAGAAAATACTCATTTGAATCGACTCGATCACTTCAAATTAATGAATTTACGAGTGGTGGATTAAACAGCGCTATTCATTGGACCCTCACATATGTGTATGCAGACGCCGCATCCAGGCTTGAAGTGATGGTTATATATGTACGTATGTTTATGTAATGTGATCCAGTTTCGTACGCACCATCTCCCATGTCTTCACTTCATATAGTTTATTTGGTAGAGCGAACATTAAGTACGGCGTTTGACAAGGCCAGCGTAATAGCACCTCAATATAAGTTTACATCCCACACAAGGGCATGTATTAGTTACATTTCATTTAATGATTATCATCATTGAAATTCAATAACTAAGACTACTTATCTAAATCATTTACCCAAATATTCGTCCAAAGATAGGCGACCATCTTCGTCCTTATCATATCGATCGAGTATTTCCTGGGAAAAAACGATAGCGTTAGTGTGAATTGCCTGGTTTCTTAACGATGTTTTAACCCTTTGGTCCCTAAAAGTGACTTGCATCCAGTTTCTCCTTACAATATCACAGCTGAATCAATTATTGAGGTCCCGAGAATAAAGAAAACGATCACCAGCTAAAGAAACTCTTGATTGGTAAATAAATTCTGCTTGTCAGTAACTTATAAAATGTATAGATGAGAGTATGGAGAATGTGCATACTGATGTTAGGGTGTCAAAAAAAACCATGAAAACCAAACAAGGAAAACCGGTTTACTCACCACAGCAATATAGGGCAACATGATTTCATGTTCTTTTGGATGGTGAAAATATTCGTACTCCTGCCTGTTTAGCATACCATCTTTGTCTTGGTCACTGTACCGCCATTTCTTCTTATCAAACAAGACATACTTTTCCAGATTTGATCTTTCCCATTTAATGTGCATGTCTGTGTGACAAAAATGTCATTGATTGGTAAAAAAGGAAAGTCGAAAGATATTAGTGCAATTAACAATTGACTGTTTAAAAACCATAACCAAAGTAATTGCAGCGATCAATCAGAGCAAAGGTTTACATAATCATAAGCCAATGAGAACTCAAAATAAAAAGAAGCAAACTGTATCTGATTGGTTCTGGGGATGGCGCGAGTTTTTTCGAACCATTTACGGAGCAAAGTTAAGTAAAATCAAAGCAATCCCGGATCACCTTCGACACGCAATTGAAAATTGCTCTAAAACGGAAGCACATAGCAGATCAGGCATTGGTGATGCATGTTTCGTCAGTCTGGGCCATAGACAGTTTTGTCTAAACAATGATGTCATGAAACATAGCGTCACGGTCCAATTTTTAATACTTACCGTATTTATTCGGCTGTAAGCCGTGACCCCAAACTTTGTACGTGTATACTCGGCATAACGAGAACCAAAAATAAATCGAAAACAACCGGCAATTAGCCGAGACCCATTCATTATTACAAGACTGAATTGTTGACTATGGGGTAAACTAACATTTTTTGAAAAAAATCACATTAATTGTCATAAATAAGGCTTAGACGATGGTGATTTATGGTGATTTAATATGCAAAGGACAAAAAAGCTAACTATTCAATTGAAAAGCAACGAATCATAACATGAATTGATGTGATCTGAAAAATCAATTTAAACCTAATTGTGCTGTTAAGCGGCAATACCGGTACCTACACATCCGTAGTGTCTATCAAACAATCCCTTGTTCGCAATCGTTTATTTCAAGTCAAGTTGTCATCATGCTTAAGGCACGTCGCGCGTCATACAACCTCGCGTTTAAACTTAAAATAGTCGCCGAAGCAGAGGCTGTTGAAAATAACTCTGAAATGGCGTCAGTGAGTCCATGGTCCGACGCTGGAGTAAAGATCAAGCCAACCTTTTTAACGGCGACATTAAATTGTCAGCGAAACGGAAGACGATGGCATGCTTCACGCCGAAGTATCCGGAGCTCGATCAAAGAATACTGGAATGGTTGACAGAGCAGAGAAGCTAAGTTTTTTGTCAAACATTGATTTTGTATTTTAAATCAACAGAGGAATGATCAAGAAGTAAATCAATCAGCTGATTGCAGAGTGAATGTGAGTTGAATGTGTGACTCGTAGTATCGTAGTATCATGTGACAAAATTGTGTAAGAAAGATTCTCATTGGCCAGTTTTCAAAAGTGTCAAAATAAATTCAAGAAGTGTCTAATTTCATCCTTTTGATCATATGGTGACCTTCTCACTTCGTTTTGCTTAGGAATAGCTCTTAGTGGATTGATGCTACGTCTAAAGACAAAAGAATTCAGCGAGGATCCCGAGTTTAAAGCGTCCCTCAGCTGGTACCAGAAGTGAAAGCGCCGCCATTCCGTCAACCTTCGGTCCGAAACAACACTCGCTCAGCGTCTCCCAGAAGATTTGGAGTAGCAAACAGTCAAGTTCCATCAATTTGTAATCACATCCCGTCAGCGTCACGGTTATTCCCTATCAAGAATCTTTAACATGGACGAGACACCGATGCGGTTCGAACTACCATCTAGTCGCACACTCGAATTCAAATTCAAAGTTAATAACCAATGATTGCATATTGTGTTTTTTACTTTAGCTCGGCTAACAAGTAAATACATCCCGACTGAGTAGAGTTTCCATGCGCTGGAAACATTTTTTTCAAAAACTTTCGGCTATAAGTCGAGACTCCCTCTAGAGCCCAAATTTTAATTCACTTCAGTTTTAATTTGTGTAAAAATCGCTCGGCTTATATTCGAATAAATACGGTAGGCTAGCCCCAAATTTTAGACCGCATTTTTTCCTCTGATATTTATGACCCTTGGGACCCAGTTCACTTAAAATAGCATAGAAAGAGCTTCACGTCAAGAACACTTTGAATGGCATCGGTTGAAACGGTTTGGCAGAAATCACAATTTTATTGTGAGTGAGGACACACATGCTATTACCATCATGAAAATTTGAGGTAACTAAGATTTTTTTTGGAAAAAGAAAAATATTACGATAAATCTCGATACATGTGCTTCACATTTATCAAAATAGAAGTAGAGTACACGTTGTTTAGTCTGAGTGCAAGGCCGTTGTTGTTGTGACTTGCTCTCCTGAGTCATCTTGGCTTCTGCCAGCTATCAATTTTCTCAGTATTCTTAAAGGTCCTTTTGTTTTTCGTTTCATCTCATGAATGATCGTATATCCTTTTTGAGAACAGTTTGTCGACTTTATAACAAATGACTGTCAGTAAGACAGTCTGGCAAAAATTATTGTAAAACGAGCTTCTAAAGTGATATCGATCAGGACTCTGAGGAAAGTCATCCCAAATAGGTCCGCTTGGCGTGCAAACCAACACTTTATCAAGTCCGGGAAAACTCAGATCGGCAAAAAGTTATTTCGACCCTAATCGATCTATTTTTGAGGATAAGTCATCGTGAACAAGACTGACCTTATGTGAAAGAGGGTGCCCCTCAGATCAAGCAAAGAAAAAACTAGCGGCTAATGCTGGTCGAAATGCGAGTAAAATACGTATATTTGTAACACATAGCGGGGTACGAGAATAGATATCACGTCTGTCGAAAATTAGATTTGTAATTCAGTAATACAGAAATAGATAAGTCAATGATGTCTGAAGTTTGTTGTTCCGACCCCTTCGCGTTCCGACCCCTTCGCATTACGACATGACCGCCACGAAAAAGCCAGCAAGAAAAAGTATCGACCCAATCCTCCCTCGGCCACATAGTTTGTTTAGTTTTGTCATGAACAATGTTATCGCAGGAAATTAATAGTATGGACAAAACTGTCTATAGTACGGACTGCTCGCGAAAACGAAAAGTTCAGCCTAAAGTTTTGTCGCAATGACATCGCTGCCATTTTCCCAAACTATTAAGTTCAAAGACGATCAAAAATTGAAAAACTATCCTTTTGGCTCCGCTTAAAATACTATGTTCTTATTAACCAAGTGGGAGGGCCGGACGGGAAATTTTGGCTCGAGGTCATGACGTACGGACAGCGCAGCGACCGCCTCGAAAGACACTTTATCGAAATTCTCGTTATCATTTCTAAGGGAGGATCAAGTTTGACCCTCGTCTCCTGGCGTTACTCATACCCACCCTCCTCAGTAAATCCAAATGTTCTAGTCATATACTCCTTCCACGTGACCTTGTCATTGTTATTCATGTCCAGGTCTCTGAATATGGCGTCCACGTCCTCATCAACGGTCCACTTCTGCATCTTATGTCGAACCCAGATCTCCAACTCAGCCTCCTCTACGAAGCCGTCTTTGTTGATATCAATACGGGGCACTAGCATTCTGAATGAGAAAAAAATAATATCTTTTGGGAAGAACTAATAAAAGACGTTCTTATCATGGTGAAATATTATATAAGCCACCACGTGCTAATGATACTGACATGGCTAACGGCTCATCAAGGACATTTACTGGTGACGCATTGAAAGAGGCAGGTTTGGTGTCAGAATAATTATTTCATGAAGCAAATCAAAACGAGTGAAATTTGAAAGACACAATATGCTTTAGAATATTTACACAGCTGTTTTTATTTACTTACTAAATGATATTTTAGTATGATAATGAGCAGCGTACAGCATGCGTGTCATTGATTATTTTTTTCGTGAATTGGAATAAATCCTTCCAAATTTATTGAGGAATAATCTAAGCTTTTGTTTTCTATTCAGTTTAGAATTTTATTCATTGACCTGAACTAAAGCTTAATACTCTTGAGTAACAGTTTTAGTTGACAAGCGCAATCACCCAAGAGGTATATACATCATTGTCTAGTTGTTCAAGTCACAGAGAAAATTTTCGCCGAGATAAAAACTTTACGTAATTAGATACTACTCAAGGAACAAACCGAACAACTGCCTAGTAGTCACATCGTTGAAAAATAAATTTTCCGTTATAATATGTACCAATTTAAATTTTTTTTTTATTTTAAAACAGTGCTCTCCTTTATTTTAACACCGATTTTCACCAAATAACGATAGTTCATACATCATTTTTTGATGCAAAGTTTGTACATTTAACCAGAAATGTTTTATAATTATTAAATTTCTCATTAAGCTTTTTCATACAAGGTATGTACGAGGTACCTGAGCCGTCTCCTGGACTCTTGAGGGGAAAGTTTGTCAAATTCTTTGGCCATCTTCTCTCCAAGGAAGGCGATATGATCATCCTGGTCACTATGTGTGCGTCCACCAAAGCTGTGTTCAGAATGCTCTACGGATAAATCAACTAGAAAAACAAGAACCGCGATAAAAAATAGAGAATTTTGCGACTCCATATTACAAGCGCTCGTTATATTAGGAATCTCCTAGAGGAATACGAAATCGATTACTTGTGTTGTTCATTTACGGAGCAATGTTTAGTCAGCCGTGACGCGTGGTTCAACCACAGGTGCGCCACGTTCTCGACTCGGTTGTGGACTAGATACTAGGACTTTCTGGTCTCTCTTATAGCCGATCACCATTGTATAACTGAACGTGTATGATTTGTAAACGGCAATCTGGACTGTTATACTACTCTATTTCTCATCTATTTTCACTGAAGATGTTTCTTTGATTTTACAGAAAACTGTAGACAGCTCCATTGCTTTTAAATCATGACGAGATAGAAGTTTCGATACGGTTGCAAAACGAGTCGGGCTAAACTGTATTTTTTTAATCATTTTTCGTCCGCTCTCTTATCTCTATTTCAGCGAAAACAGCGAAAAAAAATCATATTTCCTTACAGGAATTAACCGATTCATGAAGATAATTTTCAGATCGACACTTTTTACAGTTTATGATATTACACTCGCGGTTCCAGTGATGTGAAGTACTTCCGGTCTTAGTGATAAAATTCGCGAATACGGCTATTCAAAATAAATTCCTAGATATAAGTGTTCACGATCCGTTTTAAGATATAAATTTCGAACAAAACGAAATTGGAAATTTGCAAGTTTGTTCTTTTAAAAATGGTTTTAGACGCCAAAAAGAGTTCGTCAATTTCGGTATCGTAAGTAATTATGATAAACTTGTCAAAAATACAGCATGTATCGATGAAAGAACCCCGATCCATTTCCTTTATTCTGGTATCAATCGATCTTATCTTACAACAAGTCTGGTGACGTCTTTTGATGAGTTTTCGAAACAGCGAGTTTCAACAAGATTGGCAATGCCTAGAAATGGAAGAAATTAGTCGTCGTTGCTTGAAACAAAGCCTGATAACTGGGCAGTGTTACAAGAAGTGTTTAGCGCCACAATTTTGGAAATATTTTGTTCATTGAACATTAAGATGTTTAGCAGTTTTAAAGTTTCTAGCAACTTCATATTACACTTTGAGAAGTAGAGAAGTGAGGACAAGAGAGAAACCGTTTCAACTCACAGAAAGGAAACCATTCATAAGTCGTGTACTTTGTACTACATGTTGCGTTGGTGTTGTGACGTCATTCAGCGCAAATGTATCCTTACAGCTGTCTCTATTTATCCTAGTGTTACTTTGTTCACTTCCTTTGTAGAAAGAGATATTTATGGTAAAGTAACTGTATTACTGAGAAGAAAGAGGTCAGGGTCTGTCGCGGCGGTTTTTTGCGTTCCAGCGGTTGCTTTGAAAAAGTTGAGACGACAAAGGGGACAGGGGAGGGGAGGGGAGGGGGGAAGCTACGGTAGCAATGATAAATGTTCAGGGTGGGTTTTTTATCCATCTCTAGTCTATACCTCTTCAAATTATATATGTTTTCACTAGGATATTGTCAAAATAAAAGCCGTTCAATGAAACTTTAAACCAGTGGTACATATTTTTATCCACTTAGTCATCATAGCGAATGCTTGAGGTATTGTTCTAATTCAAAATATGATACACTTCGATATACTGAAGCAATTTTCCTAGATATGGAAACAGGAAGAAGTAAAGAAATTCGCGGTCACACCAACCAAGCCAGCTAGGGAGATGAAAGATGAATTGCTTAACATAGAAGAGGGCTGTTTGCATTTCGGGGTAATAACAATGAAATTTACTGCACTGAAGGCAGCATATCTAAATCCCTCTTCTTGAAAACCAAGGGGCACCAGCCCACTGAAGGAGTCACGCAACTTGTAAACGGAAGTGACCAGAGTATTCAGTTTTGGCGTGACAGTTTATTTTTCGTCTGGACATTGTCTCCAAGTGACATGTAAGACCGATATTCAGTAATGCTGTTTCATTTTAGCGTTGTTATAGCTCCGTGATTTAATTGAGAAGGGGCTCAAGTTTAATTTAATTGGTTTTCGAACCTGTTATATTTGTAATTAAAGAGACCAAAATAACTTCATTGATATCTGAACACATCTATTGGGGAGTTAGCATAGTTACTAACACCGGTTTGTTTGGTGGCGCGGATTAGAGAAGCAATCGGAAATTGATATAGACTGTCCACTTAAATATGGAGCGATGAAGATGACAGATGATAGTATAAAAATTGTATAGATATTACTTTTAATAGAAAAATTGAAAAAAATTTCAACGATTAGTTCCTGTGATGAAGCGTCTATGGGCTTGGTCAGTGATTACGCTTATCGCATCAGCTTTTTTTAACGCGAGGATCAAATTTTTGATGTCAAAACCAGGTGGAAGTTGTTTGCCGCCGAGATAATGTTTGCTTGTCTAGCAATTATAGGTCACTTTCGAAAACTCCCATTTAAGGCGACGTCTGAAAAACAGAGTAATTCTTTCTCCATTGGGTATTAATCATTATAGGAAATGTTCCAAAACGAAATCGCGGTTTCCTATTCCGTTGTATTTATTTCCGCGTAGGATCTGTTGTATTTACATCAACAAAATAATTCTGCGATAATTTTTCTGTCGATTACCTTATCAGTTAGATAATAATTATGACGTTTTGTTGCTTCTGTTACAGTGGAGGTTTGAGATGACACCATCAATCATAAATGTGATTATAAATGGGTTCTTCAGTTTTGTCATGATACCCTGCACACAGTATTGAATAATAAGTGTAAATAATTGATACTTAATATCAACTTGAAATTGCTGTTCCTTTTCACAGTAATTAATACAGACACTTTCGAAAAAAAGGATTGAGTACGATTCGGGGAAATCGTTAGGCGTTGATTTATTTAGATTAAAAAATAAAAATTTTTTCCTTTTCTCTTGATGTAACTTGTAATTGCAGCGGAAGGAAGAAAAATGTTGAGAATTATTTCCACGCAACGCATATGCATTTATAGAAAAGACATTCAAATAATTCTGTGAACCAAAAATTATTCCTAGAATAAGATTTTCTTTGTTACGTAGTTTTTGACCATAAACATCCTCGTAAGTTGAGCACAGTTCCTTCTATTTATCATCATCGAAGATTTCTATTGGCCACCTCAAATAATGTCGGTTTATGACCGGAATTAGATGAACCTGTTGCTTACCTCAGAGTGCCGGCAAATACTACCACTTCAGTTATGATGGACGGAATTTCATTTGTTTACGAACCTGTACTAAAACCAATATGAATGGGATGAAACGAAGAAAATAACCCATGAAGTAATTTTGTTGGACATAAAGCGGTAGTTCCCCACTTTTAGATGTTTACCCAACCGACAAATCAGGAGCGATCAAACTGTATTTAAAGGGTGAGAAAAACTTCTCACGACATCAAAACCACTTCATACAATTAGATAAAGAAGACCGAGCTGCGAAGACATATTAAAGAAGCCACAAGCTCACCTATAAATTGATAATGGAGATCTACAAGGTAAGGTTTCCGAGTACTTTAATTCTTGCTTGTTTATATTCCAATAACACTCTAGACTTTTAGGAACTTCTATAAATTCTTTTGATAAAATCATGATCACCAACAACCACTTTTTTACATGTAATCAGAAGTGACTTCAAAACACAAAAGTTGTAATAAATACTGCTGAAAAATTTTCATTGCTGAAAAATTCGTCCACTTGTTACTAGCTTAGTTGATCACTGATTTGTAAGATATACTTGCTGCTTTTTGTATGAGTTATCATAATACCGTTCTCCACAGACAAATGGAAATGGAGAAGCTAACATGCTCATACTTTCACTGTTAAGCAACAATTAGACAAAAAAACCGAAAATAGTTTTTGAAACAGACTGAAATAAACATTGTGATGTTCGTTTGAATCATAGGCGGCCGATTGGTGACTTTCACGGTTTTTTCTTTTATTTTACTCTATCAACTACCACAGCGAAGTTTGAATTATTTTCAGATTTCTTACTTCAGAAAATATACGTGTTTATGAAACAAAACCTAACAATAACGGTATTTCTCCCAGTTCCTTTTCGCTTTACTTGCAATGGTAGTACACCGTGGAAACTGCCGGGCGATTACATCAAACAGTAACGATGGCTTTGGTGACCTATCCCGAAAAGTTGATAAGGTGTTTGACTCGACCTTGAAGGAGGACTATAAGCAACGGGAAAATTCTAGTCCTGATGGCATCTCAGAATCGGACACAGACAGTCAAGAAGGACAAGAGCTTTTCAGTGAATTTGCCATTGGTGAATGGTCGGATGACGTCATTCCATCTATAGGAAGTGCCCCGCAGTGGAGACATAAGAGGTCCCCAGATCAAGTAGAGAAAGGCTGTTACACTGGAAATTATTTGACAGTCACTTTGTCAGGTAATAGGCAGAGAAGTTTCCCCATCTGTAAAAGCGTTACGTCTCGGGGTACCGCTTGTGCAAGTTCGATGAAAAACAACAACAATCAGAGAAAATGTAAGGGATCGCGTTACTTAACAGTAAATGGCACAGCATACCCTCAGATCTGCACATGCGCTTAGAAATCATATTTTGAGCCTCTTCAAAACTACCACTGTGTCAGGAACACAGTAACAATATTTATTATTACTATTAATTATATGTAGAACCATTTAAAATTATTTAAGTATTTGTCCATCTGTCAAGGAAAGAACGGAGAATTTCTCCTATTGTAGTGATTTATTCTAGAGATGATGATCGGTAAAATTCTTGTAGCAAGAATTTAGGATGAGTATTTAATGTTAGAGCCTCTATAAGTTATCGTTTGCATGTCAAGTTTTTCTTTTCCATTTCATTTCTAGAAATTTAATAGAGATATTTTGTCCACGTTTCGTGGAATAAGTTGCATGATATTTTATATGATATAACGACTTGTTGGTAATATTTATCATTGCAATATATTGTGTTATATATATATATATTTATATGTTGATAAACTTGTTCATTTTGAACGATATTACTGACCTCCTTAAACAGATTGTTTGCGCGCAAGTTGTTCAACAAACTTTTTAAATACGTAGTTGTGAGATATTCATCTGTAAATTTTTTTGACCAATAAAGTATTTTATATTTTTTTAATTT